AGTGTGTTCGGCTGTTAACCGAAAGGTTGGTGGTTTGAACCCACCCAGGGATGTGGCTCTCTTCCTGTTAAAAAATTAAAATATGGCCACATAAAGGTGGAGAGGAGCCCTTTCTTCTTTAGGAGCTCTGGTAGCATAGTGCCTAAGGCACTTGACTGCTAACCAGAAGGCTGGCAGTTCAAACCCACCAGCCACTCCTTGGAAGGAAGATGGGGCAATCTACTTCCGCAGTGATACTGCCTTGGCAACCCAAGGAGGGGTCGCTATGAGTCAGAACTGACTCGACGGCATGTAACAACAACAACAAAACCAGAAGAACTAGATGGTGCCCAGCTACCAATGCCAACCACTTGGGAAGGGATCAAAACTGGAGATCCTGGATATAATGGGAGGAAAAACATGGAACAAAATTCAAAAACACAATAATGACCAGCATTACTTGTCAGATGGAGTATGGTGGGACCCCCAAGACTACAGCCCTGGGATTCACTTCGGGTCTGGGATAAGATTCACTCTCAAGGGCTGGCTCTCAGCCCAACATAGTAAGATTTATATGCAGAACATGCAAACCTGGTGATGCACCCACCTACTGTACGGAGATACACACCTTGGAGCAATCGGCCATGGGCATCAGAGGGGCAGCATTCATGTGGAGGGAATGCTGGCCGGACAGGAGTGCATAACAAAGAAGGGCACAGGGATGCGTGGGGTGGTCACACGGAAGGGAGAGGAGTAGAGGGGTTTAGGGCTGGGGATGTTAACCGGGGAGTGAAACCAAATGTACACAAACTGTTGAATGTAAAACAAATCTACCCTGTAAATTTGCACCCAAATTACAATGAAAAAAAAAAAAAAAAGCACTATTAAAAACAAACAAAAAAAACAAACAAACCTTGATAGTGACAAGTGTTCTCAAACAGGGTAGGGACATCACTGGGTACAAAAAATAAGTAAATAAAAATAATAAATATTTACTATCAAGACCAATATGGGACTGCTTATTCTTGCATTAGACAAATCTGCTGCAAAAGACCTCTAAAGTTTTAAACAGCAAACATGTCACTTTGTTGACTAATGTGTACCTGACTCAATTATCTCATATGCAAGCAAAACCTGGACATGAAAAAAGAAGACAGGAGGAGAACTGATGCATTCAAACTGTGGTTTTGGTAAGGAATATCGAATATACTATGGACTGCCAGAAGAATGAAAAAATCAGTCTTAGAAAATAAGTCTTAGATCCAGTGAAGGCAGCAAAAGGGAGCAGGTTAAATGACTGGGAAAATTGGAAAAAACAAAACTGCCCAGCCAGCTGAGCCACAAAAAAATCAAGGAACCCACAGGCATTAAAGATTCAGAATAATCACACCCAGAGCATTTCAAGGTGAGCTGGGACCACAAGTGGGGAGGAAGACTGTACTGGGAAAGGGAACAAGACCCCCTTAGCTTAAGCTGCTGCAGAGGAGTGACCAATCACTAGAAAAGGACACCCTGTTTGGTACAGAGTCAGCGAAAACAAGGGAAATCTTCAATGAGGTGGATTGACACAATTACTACACCAGTGGACTCAAACATACCAAACATCATGAAGATTACTCAGTGTCAGGTGACTTCTCCTCCTGATTCTCAGGAGGTTGTCATAAGTTGGAGACAACATGACAGCAACAAACAACAGCCATTCTTGTCTTAAGACCAGATATTAATGCTAAATTTCAGAAAACAAGAGATGTTCTAATTTATGTGGGCAATTCACATAACCTCACTGAGATTCAGCGTCTTCATTTGCAAAAATTCAGTGAATACTCTTTTTCAGAGGCTTGTTGTGAACACAAAATGAAATATTAAAAAAAAAAAAAAACCTGCCTAGCACAATATTTTACATTAAAAAAAAAAAAAAAAAAAACTACCATTGAGTTGATTCCAACTCATAGGAGCCTATAGAATAGGGTAGATCTACCTCATAGGGTTTCCAAGCTGTGCATTTTTACCGAGCCAGGCTCCCATATCTTTTTCTGTGGTACACCCAGTGGGTTCACACTGTCAACCTTTTGGTTAGCAGCTGAGCACTTTAATCACCATACCACCAAGGCTCCTTATAGGAATCATCAACTCCTAGTTGAATCTAAAGCTTAACTTATATTTTAAAAGAATTAGGGTAGAATCTACTTCTGAAAAATTACCCACTGAAAACCATATGGAGCACGTTCTACTGTGTTGCACATAGGGTCACCATGAGTAAGAACTGACTTGACAGCAACCGGTATACTGGTATACTCTTTAAGGACTTCTGGAAAGTAACTAACAAACAGCCTCTAACATGTTCTCCAAAGTAAGGTGGGGTTTCTTGAAAAGGGGAAACTCTTGCTCTAGTGTAGTAATGTATCAAATGATATGTTAGTGACTGAAAGATCCGCCACTGTTTTCAAAGTTACCCAAAAATGAAAGGTAGAAGTGTAGCATGAGTTTGAAAGAACTCCAACCATGAACAGATTGGAGTTTAGTGTTTAGGATCAATGCCTTTCATTGTAATATGCACCAACCTGGGAGGTTCCTTGAATTAAAACAAAGAGGGCATCACTTTCCTTCTTTTTGGTATTCTTTGCTTAGCTTGCTAGTTGATTCTTGATATTTCAAAAGATTGGATCAAGAAAATGGATATAAAAAGGAAATATTTTCAGTTTTATGCAAATATATAGTTATATATGTATATACATAAAGAAATATAGGAGCTCTGGTAGCATAATGCCTAAGGCACTTGACTGCTCACCAGAAGGCTGGCGGTTCAAACCCACCAGCCACTCCTCGGAAGGAAGGTTGGGCAATCCTACTTCCGTAGTGATACTGCCTCGGAAACCCAAGGAGGGGTAGCTATGAGTCGAGGCCGACTCAACAGCAAACAACAACAACAACAACAATAAAGAAATATTGGCAAAACAGATCAATGGAACAATACAGAACAATAACTACCACTTAAAGTTTATCAAATGAGCAACATGTTTTGTACTTGTTAATACAGAAAAATTTCACAAACTAGGTTTCTTAGTACAAGATAGCATCTGTATCTTGCCTTTCTGATTGACTTTTAAGAATTTCTGGAAATAAAAGTGTAAATAAGATGCTTGCTCATATTTCATTAGCTTAATCTAGCAGAGCAGCCAGATAAATATCTCAAAGGTACACACCCAAGATCATTGGATCCTGAAACAATTGTAGAAACATATTTCCAGGAAACTGTTTATTAATGATATTTGCCTTTTTTTTTTTTGTCTTAATAAGCAGGGTTAGGGTTCAGGAACAATTCAGAGTGCTCAGAGGCTATGTGCTGTAATGTTTACTCTCTCTGCCCCTACAAAATTCCATTTGGGGAAATCTACTGGCCAGATGAAGGACCAGCTTCTAGTCATCCATTCTTTGGATCATGTGATCCTACCTTGCCACAGCTGATAGTATCAGAGGTAGATCTGAACAACAACTTATGACTTGGCACAGTGAGGAACAATCTCCTACTCCCTCTCTTCTACCTCTCTCCTTTCCTCTCTCACTTTCTTTCTCTCTATCTCTCCTCTTCTTTTATCCCTCTCTCTCTTTCTGGAATTTGAACAAAGAAACATCTAGAGAATGAGTTCACTTAGAAGGAGAAGCCGAAAGACAAGAATGGAGAGATGGGGCTGGAAAGGCCATATCAGCCACGTGTCCAGTTATATATTAACTAAGGATTAAATATGGCAAACCTGCTGATTGCTGATCAGAGCAAAGCAGATGCTGGAAGTGTAGCTCAGTCAGTCCATTCAACTATAATCTTCTTGAAGATAAGCACAATAGCTGTTCTTTTCATTACTGTTTCCCCAACACTTAACACAGGTTCTGGTTATTAAAACATAGTTCACCCAATATATGTCACTTGAATGAAAGTGAATGAGGCGCAGATCACTAGAGTGAAAACCCATGAACTCTTGCTGTTGAGCAAACTTTAAAGTGGCCTTTTTTTACCAGAAACACTGTCCAGTTGCTGACATCAGAAACCTACATTTGCTCATGAGATTTCTTCTCCCTCAACACAGCATACGTTGTTTTTGACTGTCTAATCCTTTCCTTAATTTGACTCCATTTGTTTGGCACCTTGATCTCTGTAAACAAAAATTTCAATACCAGAGCAACCTTGAGAAAGAGAGAGAAGGAAGAGAGAGGGTAAGAGGAGAGAAGCAGAGACAAAGAGAGAGTGCCACGACCCTTGTTTTTTAAGCACTTTTTTCCCCCCTAGTGAGGTATAGAAAAGACCCATGGCAACCTCCCTAGAGAAAGGGTGAGACAAAGACATAAGCATTGCAACAAACAACCTGTTCTAGCAAAACCATCTCTAAGAGTGTTGGCTCAATAAGAATGTTTCAACTTTGCCATTGACATAGTATGGCTATACCAAACAAAACAACCTTGTGACTATCTCCCTGAAACTTATTTGTCTCGTGTTGAACGAGAGTAACTAGATTCCCATTCTCCTATTTAATGGAAGAGAAATTAGTCTAGGGAATAAGATTTCCTTAAATAATGCATTCCCTTTCAGGTCATAATTCCCTTCTACATTATTACTGAAATATAACAACTTACGTGTCTTTCAGAAAATCTGAACACTTTATTGTTTTCTTCCACCTATGAAGAAATTCAGGATTGCTATGAAGGACAATGTTACTCCAGTAAACTCTTATAAAACAATATATTCTCCTGGGTAATAATATCTTTCAAGATCAGGTTCATCCCCAGTCAGCTGGAGTTAATGATCATGGAAAACTTATCCTTTGTTGAATATTACTCTGTATATTTCATAAGTATATTTTCCATATTAGCAGAAACACCAGTTGGCCAATATTATCCTCCTCTAGCTTCTAGTAGTTATATGCCCAAGATGATGCCCTGGTAGGTCAATAGCGATAAATTAAATCTTATTTATAAGCAATAAATTAACACTTATAAGGAGAGAGAGGTAAGGAATAAAGAATACTTACTTGGTCCTAGACCTATTGAAAAAGCAGCAACATAAACAAGCAAGCTGGCTAAGGAGAGCCATTTCAAAAAGGCAGGGACTTCCCCCGGATCTGTGACTATTGGGTATCCAGGTTGGCTTAGTTCACCATTTGGTAAGGATGCCAAGATCATCTCCCCTCTCTTCTTCACATCATTTCTCTTGGGTGTTAGGAAGCTCCTGCCATGAGAAGTGATCCCTTTAAAGGGCTCTCTGAGACTGTTGTTGGCTGACAGGTTTCCAAGTCCATAAAATGCAGATTCCTCCAAGGAATGGTTGATTGGACTATGGCTCCTGCAGATATTGGTGAAGTTCATGTGGATGTTGAGATTCACAATGCCCATGGTCATCAACGAAGCTGCCATCACAGAGGAACCTATGCAGAGGAAGGTTTTGCTCCCAATGTGGTCTACAAGAAGAGTGGCTGGGATGGTGCTGATGACCTTGACAACCCCAACCCCAGTAGAGGCAAGGCTTGCTGCCTCATTACTTTGAAAGCCAACTGACTTCAAAACAGTTGATGCATAGAATAATATGTTTGGTTGCCCAGTGATTTGTACAAAAAACACCAAGGTTAGGCCTATCATTATTCGGGTTCTCATGTTGTCCTTTGAACGAAACAGATCCAAAAAACTATATTGATATTCATCTTTAAGGGAAGATTTTATCGCAGTGAGTTCCTCAGTTGTGTCTGAGATCACTCTTAACTTTCCAAGAACCTTGCTAGCAGCTTCTTCCTGTCCTTTCATCACCAGAAACCGAGGGCTTGGAGGAAGAAAGTACATTGCAATTGCTTGCAAAACTCCCAAGGGAATAACAAGGCTGAACATATATTTCCAGCCATGGGAAACATTGGCAAATGCGTAGTTTGAAATATAGGCGAAGAGTATGCCAATGACAATCATAAGTTCATTCAGTGACACCAGAAGGCCTCTTCTGTGTGGCGGGGCAATTTCTGCAATATAAACGCAAGTAGCAATTGAAGAGAGAGAAATGGAGATGCCTAGAGCAATGCGTCCAATGATAAGAACCGTGTACGATAAATAGAGGATCAGGATTAAGCTTCCGAGTCCAAGGAGGCAGGATGACAAGATAATGGCTGTCCTTCTTCCATACCTGTCTATCAGGACCCCTCCAGTGAGAGAGGCCAGGAAGGCCCCAATGAGGAGGGAGCTCACAACCATTTCCTGCTCGTGACAGGTCAGGGCTAATTCAGTTCTTATCTGAAGAAGAGCTCCAGAGATGAGCCCGAGTTCATAACCCACCAGGAGGCCACTGACAGCTGCAATGACTGATGACAGGAAAGCAAACATGCCGCAGCCTACAGGCAGAGAGGAGGAGGAGAGATTAGTTCTGAATTATTATTATGAACAATTTACATCTCACCTGAGACTTAACCTTCTGTGCATCATTCATTGCACTGATTTAAACACACGGCACAATTATAATGAATACACTAAATAATATGTATAAATATAACATACTAACAACAAAAAATGATTACATATAAGAGGAAAAATCATTTTTCCTTCTTTTTTGGAAGTAGGGGGGTTGGAAGGAGACATGTAGAAAGTCTAGTTTCCTTCTATTTCTGATGTTGACGTTGTTTTTAGTTTATAGTAGACAGCGCTATCCAAATCAAACAGAAGATGCTGACCACTGAACAAATAAGAACACCACTTAGTTTGTGACTTGGAATTGGATCTGAACTCTAGTAGCCCAACTCTCTAAAGGCACACTGTGAGGGCACAATAGAGAAGGTAAGAACCTTCAGAAATGCTATAATGTCTTCACAATATAAACCAGTGGCTGTCAAGTTGATTCTGACTCATGGCAACTCTATGTGTGTCAGAGTAGACTGTACTCCACAGGGTTTTCAAGCCCTGTTTTTTTTTTTTTTTGGAAGTAGATTGCCAGGTCTTTCTTCCAAAGCAGTGTGGGTAGATTTGAACCTTCAACTTTTTAGTTAACAGCCAAGCATGCTAAACATTTGCACCACCCAGGAGGTGCAAAAAATTGGCTTTCTTTGAAGAAAATTATGATGTTATGTGAAGAAGGGCAGTTGTGAGTGCCTTAACCAAATCAAGGTTGTGTCAGAAAGAAGGAAGAAGGAATGGACTGGTTCTCTAGTGCTGCTATAACAGACATACCACAACAGGAACTTATTCTCTTATAATTTAGGAGGCTAGAAGTATGAATTCAGAATGCCAGTTCTAGGGGCTGAGTGAAGGTCCCTCCACCTTGGGCTTCAGGTTTGCCTCTTGTTCCAGGCCCACTGGAGCTAGAGGCTTCTTCTAACTCATGTAGCAGCTGGCTGCTGAGACTGAGGAACCCAAGATCAGCAAGTAAAATGGCACCATCCCAAGATCAGCAGGCAACACAGCAGGCCACTGGTTCAAGGCCAGGAACAATCTCAAGAGGGGCAGGCAACATGACCCAAAATGTTCCACAAAGCGGGGACCTTTCTCAAAGCTTCTCCATATATACAGGAAACAGGACACACCACAAAGGCAACTCCCTTTCCACTGATGAATGCCTCACAGCAGATTCTACCATGGAGATGATTACAATCTCACCAAATGATCAGGAGGGACCAGTCACTAGAGAAGGACATCATGTTTGATGAGGAATAGGGCCAGTAAAGGCAAGAGAGACTCTCAGTGAGAAGGATTGGTACAAAAGTTGTAAAGATGGACTAGAACATGCTGGCAATTGTGAGGACAATGCAAAACCAAGTGGTATTTCATCCTGCTGTACATTAGATAGTCATGGGTCAGAGCCTACTCAATGGAACTAACAACAACAATAACTCATTGCTGCTATGTGGAGACCATTTCTTTGAGGGGCAATGCAGGAAGGAGTTTGTTGCCTTGGTTTTGACAAGAAAGGATGGTAACTTGGACTTGATTGTTAAGCATGGACAGATCCAAGATTTATTTTGAAGGTCAAAATGAGTACATTTTTTCATGAATTGGATATGGAGGGTAATTAAGAGGGTCAGAATTTGCAATGGTGATTTTATGTGTCAACTTGGCTATACTATGGTGCCAAGTTATTAGGCCAAACACTTATCTAGATGTTGCTATGAAATATTTACGTGAAATTTGCATTTAAATCAGTTGGCCTTAAGTAAAGCAGATCATCCTCCATACTGTTGTTTTTAGGTGCCCATGAGTTGGTTCCGACTCATAGTGACCCTATGTACAACAGAACAAAACACTGCCTAGTGCTGTGACATCCTCACAATCTTTGTTATGCTTGAGCCCATTGCCACAGACTGCTTTATCTTTCTCCCACAGAAGTTTCAAAAGTCTTTCTTCCTAGTCTGTCTTGGTCTGGAAGCTCCCTGAAACCTGTCCACCATGGGTGACCCATTTGATATTTGTAATACCTGCAGTATAGCTTCCAGCATCATATCAACACATAACCACCACAGTACGGCAAACTGGCAGACAAGTGGTGGAACCCTATCTTTCGCAGGAGGAGGTTTAAAAAATGCCTATTCAGCTATAGTGAGATGGGTAGGTTAAATAAAGTTGATCTAAATCCCTTCTCATCCCAACAACCTAAAGCATTCTGCATCTCTGAGATCCTCGTTGAATCTGGAAAGTGAGAAATGGAAGACTCCGAAATACAAAGTGAAAAAAGGCATTAAGTATTTAAATGGAGGAGCAAATAAAAATACAAATAATCTACAATAAAATAAAACTAACTTATAAGCATTGCAAACAAAAACTATTACACTGAAATTACATTGGCAGTTTATTCTCTCTCTGTCTTTCTCTATCACTTAATTAGAAAACTAATTTTTAGCACCAGCTATATGCTAGGCACTTTTCTAGGTACTGGAGACAGATAGACAGACAGACAGATAGCAGTGAACAAAACAGACATAGTTTCTCCCCTCAAGAATCATAATATTCTGGTGACGTGTATCTATTATCTGTTATTTATTTACAGTGCTTTCTTTTAAAATGTAAAAATAACTTTAAAGTCCTTTCTTACAGGCTCATTCCTGTCCTCAGCTTCCATATACCCTTTTTCCCCTATATGATCTTTAACAACAAATTCCTCTATCTTAAGTTTGGTTTTTGTTAAGGAGAATTAGGTCAAATTCAGACCATTGGATGTAGAATATTGTATTTCCTCTTAACTTCACTTCTCACTGTTCATTTTATCTGTGTTTGATATGTTAATTAGTATGTGTGTTTTGGCAATTGTGAGATGGTCTCTCATATTCTGATGGGAGAAATAAGTGATTTTGGAGCATGGAAACTTTGGGAGGGCTGGAAGGAAAGGCAACTGGAGTGAGACTCAGTACCTATCTATACAGGCATACCTCTGAGCCAGTCTGGATTCAATTCCAGCCCACCACAATAAAGCGAATAGTGAGACATCAATTTTTTGGTTCCTAGAGCCACTCCTCGGAAGGAAGGTTGGGCAATCCTACTTCCGTAGTGATACTGCCTTGGAAACCCAAGGAGGGGTCGCTATGAGTCAGGGCTGACTC